TCTGTATGAAGCCTTTTTACAGACAGGGGAAGACTTTTCAGTCTGAAAAAGAACTCGCTGAGGAAGGATGTATCAGTGACCTATAAAATTCTGAGTGGCATGAAAAAGGTCAATAGCAAATGATTGTTTATCCTCTTTCAAAGAAAGACCCAGGCAGCAAAAATGGAATTATGGCTGGGTCAGAATAAACAAAAGGAGGTAATTTTTAACACAATGATTAGTTGAGCTGTGGAGCCCTTTCCCACAGACTGTTTTGCATGCCAGAAGTTGACATTGTTAAAAAACTGATTAATCAAAAGAAAGTTAATTCAGAGATATTAAATATAATAAAGACACCACCATCTACTTCATAACATCATGGAGTCAAACTGCTGCAGGCAGAATATCACCTCATGCTTTCTTGTTCTCGGATTTTTCCACAGGTATTTTCTATTGGTTATACTTCTATAGCTAGCCTCAAAGCTGACAGATCTTGATTTCTAATCAGCACACATTAGTGCTTAAGCTACTGACCATTGCCAAGAGCAGGATACCTGACCTGAGTGATGTTTGGTTTGACAAACCACTGCTCACACCTTCTTTTGATTATACGAATACCTTATTTATGTCACTCAGATGAAAAGTCTCCTGGTCCTAAAAGAGGTCCACTCTGATCTAACTCATTCTCTTTTTCTCCTCATGCCTGGATGAGGCATGTTCAGCCCATGTGTTTTTAATTAAAAAACTGTTTTTCTCAAACAGTATATATAGATGAAGACCCAAATTGAATTTCTGTAGCTTCTACGAGTTAGGATATGTCAACCTATTCAATGCTTCAATTCCCATTGGATAATTATTCTGATTTTGATCGGTATGTTTAGGTGCTTATCATACTGATTTACTCATGTACCCGACCAGACTACTATGGATCCAGAGCCCGAGCAGCGGAACCAGAGCCCTAAAAACATTTTTCACTGTAAAGTGATCTAACATCCCCTGTGTGGAAGGCCACAAAAGCAGACAGATAGATGCTGAGACTCTCTCCCTGAACTTTTAGTACATTTACAGCACAGACAGTCAATCAGACTGCGACTCATTCCTCTTCAAAAGACTGCCGTCTTTCCAAATTTTGCAGTCCATCAGCAAAGATAAAGACTCTTCTTAATAGATATCAGTTACAGCATACGAGGAAACATGATATGGATTGATGTATTTGGAGACCTGTGATGCTTATGGTTTGTAAGATGATGGTTAAGTCCTTCGTATGCTTTTAAGGTTGCAAAACATACCCAGAAAATCAAGATGTTACACAGTTGTTTAACTGGTAAAATCTGTGTTACAAAGCTTATGCTAATACTGTCAACACACCGGATTTGGAACATGCTCATAGGCACCAAACACGTTCAGTGACTTTGAGAAGACTCAGCACAAGGGAAAAAAATGGAGGTTTATGAAAAAGCTGCAATTTCAAGAGAAAACACTCTTCAAATTAAGTTTGGTGGTTTTTTTGGGTTTTTTTTTTTTTTTTAAAGCTAGTTAGTATACCTACTAGCTAGGTATACTAACTGGAGATTGTTAACTGGAATTACTGCCAGAGTATGCTGATAGCTGGTCTACTGAAACGGAAGTTAAAAATTTTAGACCATGAAAAGGGAAAGTATTTAAGGTGCAAATTGAAACACAATGAAATACTGAAATATTTCAGACAGTGTCACATTGACAGATTAAGTTAAATAAATCATTTAATAAGCCCTATGACCCTAATTAATTAAATTTATGCATGCTATTAATCCCTCTAATCAATCCAATTAAAGACTAAAGCAGTCTCACATGTTTGTACAGAAAGTGCCCTGCTGAAGTAAGTTTTAACAATGCAGCTAAGCAGAATGCTGGGATCAGTCAGAACTCAGTGACCATTATGTAGCTGCTAAGCAGAAAAAGTCTGTAAATTCATCTGCTTGGTGTTTTTGAGGTAAATGTTATATTGTCCAAGATTAAAATAGAGTTCACGCACTGTTACCTGTGTTTCTCTTGGAGTGTTTAGTGCTTCACAGATGAGGCTCTTGTTAGCAAATCCTTCCTTTGCAAAATGTCCACTCCTAAAAGACAAGCTCACGGTATTTTGCACAACATGCAACAGGAAAAATATTCACCCTTCATCTTTGTTTCTTCCTCATTAGGAAATACGCAGGAAAACTTTGGGGAAAAAAATAAGATTTAACATCATTGTATTTATTAGGTTCCGAAACAATACACATTCACATCCTTTTGAATACAGTACATTTGGCACAGTAATAATGTTTACGATGAAATAACACTAATGAATGGCAAGAGATTCAAATTACATCCATAAGAAAAAAAATTCTGTACAAATAAATCCTCACAATAAAAAAAAAAACCAACCCCCCCAACTGAATACATTTTATAGTTAGCCATAACTATTCTGCACATAATTTAAAAAGAGGTAATTTGTAAGCCTTTTTTGGAGAGAATTATTTTTCACCCTATGGAGAAAAATGTGTTTCCATTTTTTTATAAAGTCTATTTGGGAGGAAAAACAAGAAACAATGGATTCTTTATAATTATTATTATTAATAATCATCTTTTTGGCATTTTGCACTCATTTTACAAAGAAGGAACAGGAAAGATTTTACAGAACAGGCAGAAATGTAACAGAATGTCCATTTTTAAGAATTATCTTTAAAAAATGTTCAAGGTAAGAGACAAACCTTCTGATGTAAACCCAATGCAGAGGATCTAACTATTTATATTGAAGAAATATCTGCCCATGCAAAAGTTTTTATCTCCTTGACTTTTCTCTTAGCATCCTACCAAATATTGCAGGTGCTGAGGCCTCCTGAAATACAAACGTTTGCTAGTTATCTTCGTGTTAGAAACAGGAATACAGACTACATAGCTTGCTTACAAAAGCTTTATGGGATGCTTTTATTCCTTCAAAATAAATGCTCAGAGTTTTGTGTAAAGGCCTCTTGTTGTACAAGCAGTAGTGCACTATCCAGTAACTTGTCTTCCTAGCCAGCCTACTCACCTATGGAAAAGAACGCTTTAGCATTGTGATCAGTTCTTGCCTGGATGTCAAAAGCTAACCGTGATGAGAAATAAACAGAGCCAGTGGCGAGACACAAATTGATGGGCAGTTCTACAATATATTTCTAAAAGAGAAAGAAATTTAAACATTGAGATGATGCAATCATTAAGATGTTTCTGTGCTGGTACTCAGCTCCAGAAGCTAGTCTTTTCCCAGTACAAAAGATTACTGAAGATAAATTAAATTAAACTAGAGGCTTGATCCATTATTACACCTGTAGGCCAGAAAACACATTAATTGATATATCATAATATTTAATATTTTGAAATCATCATAAGAATATACATAATAATTACACCTGAGTTTTAAAAACAAAACAAAATGGAACTGAATGTTGTCATCAGTAACAGGCTATGAGCAGCCAGACGCAAAACTGACACAAACTCATCTGCTTGAGACCAAGATTATCTCTTAAAGCCAATGATTCACACCTTGTCCACCACGATTTGTAACATTCCTTTCTCTTTGCGAGCTCTATCATGTCATAATAGAGTTGAAGAGAACTATACAAGATATTTAGTATAGCTTAATATATGTCTACATCTTTTATAACAAAAACCTCATCTCTCTGACAGTAACTTGAACCAATACACATACAAGAGTATTGCACATGGACATTATTATAATTATTCTTTCATAGACTAACATTTTAATAGTATGCCTGAACATGCAGCAGTTGATACCTCTATATTCAATGAATTCCACAGGCCTTGCAGCAAACACTATATACAAAATCTCACCTGTACAAAAGGCAAAAAAGCTTTTTTAGTGCCACTTTGCCAATCACAAGTATATATATTTTTGTGCAGCTGGAAATCCATGTGCAACAATTAAAATGGATTCCAATGACCGCTCACTCAGTCCAGTAAAATATATAATAAAATGACCTCAGCGATACATGTACACAAAAAAAAAAAAAGAAAAAACAAACCACAGGGTACTCCTGGAAATATAAGTACATAACACTGTTAGCGTATCTACAGGAGGTAACTTCACATTAGTAATATTGTCCACATGAGTTACCATTTCAATTCATACACAAAAAAATTCAATTTACAACTTTCAATAATGTCAGTTTGTGAATGTTTGATCTTCATTTTTTTAACACACTTCCACATAATACATGTGTAGCCTTATTTTGTCTTCTAAAAGCAGATTTCTCTTCAGATTTTAAACATAAAAAACAACAAACACAGTAGTATTATGTTTTTGTAAAAGTGTGCAAAAGTAACACACTGCTGAGAAAATAAATATAAATAAGAAATTATTTATCAACTTAGCTACAACAGAAAAGGCAAATTTATAATGTTTATAATCAATTTTTAATGTAAAATTAACTATAAACACTTGCAAGCTTGCCATCATACTAATGGTTCATTTAAATGGATATTAAATTTGGTAACATGGATAGTATACCCAATTGCCTGAAAAACTGTAAAATGCCTATGTATAGCTGTGTTAAAGTACTATAGGCTTTTTATTCTTTAGCCCTTTAATAACTATCCATATAGTATCTATTTCCCGCTTTAAATAAAATTTCAGTTATCTTTGTGGCTCTTCTTATTCCTAAGAGTTTTCCATAAATTGTACGAGGAACTTCATCAAAAGCCTTAATTGATGTGCTTCTTTTTCTGGACAGCTTTATTTTAAGTTTGTACCTCACCACAATAAATTCATAATTGAGGATTACACCTCCACGAAGGCAGACTTCTTTGCTAACCAAAGCGCAACATATTAGTTATTTGTTCCACATCAGGGTGCAGATCTCACCATAACCACCAGTGCAGAAGAAACAGTTCTCACCACCTTAGCTTAAATACATATGACGATTACAGAACGTGATCTGCTAAATTGCTTTTAACAGCACGGCTTCATTTTCCATGGAAAAGATGCAATTTTGTCCTCTGGGGAGTTGCAAATATATGGCAGTGTGTTACATTTACAATTTCTGATACAAAATTATTTTGCATTGCTTTGTGAGACAGAAATTAAGAGTGCTTTCAGGTCAGAAGATTAAAGGAAAAAAACAATAAATATATACTTTAATTGGGGATATGGGCTCAGGGTAAGAAAAGTAGTTCTTGATCTACTGAGTCTCAGTAATTTGTCGATCTTTTCAGAATCACTTCTTGCAGCATCATTCATCTGTCAGCCTAACGTTGTCTATGGCAGTAGCTCTTCTCCAAAATAAGAGAACCCTTTAAATTCTTCTTGATTGATTTGTTTTATAATTGTCTCATCCACTAGTGTTAATACTGGTTCTTCTCGTGTAAAGTCTTGATCAAAGTTATTTACATCCCTTTTGGTTTTCTGAGAAGAAAAATACAAATAAGGTGAATGGTAAAACAGCACAATAAAATGCAAGGTGCTCTCCCTCCTCTCCATCCCCCCCAAAAGGCTGAATTTTCTGGAATGATTGAAATAAAAGAGGAGCTACTCACACAAAGAATAACAGACGTATGAGAGAAGCTACAGGAGCAAGTACTATAAATGAGTTCAGGAGAGGCCACAGAAGCAGTACTATAAATGAGTTCCCAGAGACTCAAGGGTCTCTCACAGGCGAAGGAATAGCAGTATGATGATAAAGCAGGAAGCTAGGATTAGGACTAGTTTAAAAAAGGCTTTGGCATACTAGGTGGTACAGCTGTTTCCTCTTAGGTTTGAACATAATGATATCTCATTTCAGAGGCATAGAGTGAACTGATTTAATTGATTTCCCCACAATATAGCCTGCTGTTTCAACTTCAAGTTAACTGTTTCTTTATATCTGTCTACACTCAGCTTTAAAATCAGATGTAGACCTCGCAACAGGTCTCAGTCTGAAATCCTTGAGCTGCACATTGGCAACTCAGATATCCTAATGCAGCCGAATGTCATTCAGAGCATCACGGCAAAGTGTGAAATTCTGGCTCCAGAGAAATCCACCTCAGAACTCTTCATTATTTCAATGGCATCAGGATTTCCCCATTGAAGCCTAAAGCATCTCACTCTTTTCAGTGAAGTTGGGCCAACAAAGTGCAACTGTACATGTTGTGGTTGGGATAAGATGTATTATCTAGAGACAGCCTTGGGGAGGCCGACTCGTCCTCAGGGCACTCATGACAGTGACTATCTGTGTCCACTTACATGTAAAAAAACTTAAGGCTACAGGGGAAAACATTCCCCACTGTCTTTCCCTTGAGATCTGCACTGTTCATGTTTTCCATGTTAGCAGTGTATTTCAGGCACGTACAGGTTCAGGGAATTGGAACAAGCATTTTCCTTTACACTGTCTCTTTTCTCTTTGTTTCATGAAATCTAATAGTTACCTGAGTGATACTTAATGGAGGCACACCAACACACTGAAAACTAGCTTTGTGTCCATCCTGCACATGTCTGAGATTAAGATGATACCAGAAATAGAATAGCTATTTGACTTGCAAAGTAAAATGATAAAATCATAAAGTGATATATCATAAAGTACATTAATGTATTCCAAATGGGATATATGCCTTCTTTCAATGTAGGTAAATTTTCCTATAAAATATATATAAATGTATTTTCTTCATCAGCTCTACTGAGGCACCAAAACAAATAGTTTTCTTTCTCACAATTGTAAAATGCTCATAGCAACCTTCACCTACATTGTTTGTAAGAACTTTATAGATATAAGGAAAAAAAGGTCTATATAAATGTGACTGTCACTTGTAAACCAAGCATTTTCTAAGTGCAAGCAACCAAAAATCCACATCCTCTATCTACAAAAGTCCATTAAAAGGAAAGGAATATGGACTTAACAAACATACATAGATGTTTATATTGTTTACATTTGTAATATTTACTTCGTACATAAAGACTGGACATAAAGTGTGTGTGACCCATATACTCTGAACTGCATAAGGCGTGAGGGACATGGCTTTGTGCTTTATGTTTTTTCACAGTCATTTGGGCAAATACTGCAAAATAATAATGAAATTCCATACCCATTTTTAAATGCATTACATTGCAACTACGTCTACATTCTTCTTGTTCCCCATATCCTACCATAGTATTTTCACACACTGATACAATGAATTTGCTACAGCAATAGTCACTAAAGCAGAAGGAGGTAAGTGAATATTTGTAGAAAGTAGAATTCAAATTCAGAACTGTTGTTATGTACAAGAGAAACATGACTACATTCACACTTTAACCACCAGCTATCCAGGGCAAGTAAGCTCTGGACTAGCTGAGAACAAATACAATATATATTATTTTCAGGTTTTCGAACTGAACGTATTTGTGAAAAGTGTTATTTCCTTGCTGAAGCTAAAAGAATAAGATGAAAAATTCCTCAAAGCCTATCAGGGGCAATTAATTCTCATCAGCTACTTTTTCCAGAAAACCATCACTAAGATTTGTGAAGGTGTTAGGTGAAAAAGAGTGCATCTGAAAAACTGTCCCAACGCCGGTGTAGACTAAATCCTATCGATTAAAAATAATTGTACTTCCTGTAGAACTTCAAATCCCAAACACTTCTGAAACAACCACCAAAGGTATTTGCTTAGATTTAAAAGCCTAGCATGTCCTAAAATACGCCTTCAAGACCAAAGGAGGCAATAGAAGTTTTTACTTTCTCAGATTTATAAACAAATCCATGTCTTTTTGGCAGCATAGATGTAAATCACCTGATTTATTAACAGGACAAGTATGGAGCAATCTAAGATTGCAAGGATACGCTAGCAAGCCTCTCACTAACCAACTGATGAAGTGAGATTAAATAAATCACAGGGAAAAAAAGTAAGTGGATTAAGCCATACAAGACAAAAGGTAGAATTCATAACAAGCACTTCTTTTCAACAGAAAGATTTATTTGAGAAACCCTCCTTAGCAACTTAGGCACTATCTTCCTGAAGCGATGACTATTTTGCAAGGCCCCATCTGCTAAGACAAAACAGGTCTGGCCACATTTCTGCTACTATTGCTATTTTAATGTACTTGCACCGTGAATACTCAGTAGGCCAACAGCACAAACCAATATATAGTTGCAGCATGAGGGCTCAGGTTGAAGGTATGAAGGGCTGTGGCTGTCTCCTAGCAGAGAAGCTGAGAAAAGAAAGAAGAACTGCAAGGTAAGGAGAGTATATGAAGGAAACAGAGTGCAGCTATAATCCAACTTTGAACATTAAAAAAATTATGAAAAAAATCTTTAGATTGGCTGGCAAATGCATCATTAGAAGTGCAGTAATTAAATGGGTGGGATTCTGTTTATTTAGCCTGCAGCTCCTGAGATTTTGGGATACATTATTTTTAACTTTTCAAACTTTTTTCCAGGTAAGACTTCTCAATTTCAGATGACTGAAGAAACTAGGGTTATTAGGAAAAAAAGAATCCCCAAAACCACAGCTGACCACCCAAACACACAGAAATTCGACTAAGTTTCAGATGCTATTTTTTTTCTCTCTAGACTACCCAAACACCTTGTGTTTAGCATGTGTAACGCTACATGAGAGCGGGGGCACAGCAGCTACCCAAGAGCTTTCAACAATACGTGCCAAATTCCACACTGCACTGAAACTGCTCTACTGGCAGCATGTGGGCTGTCCATCTCTGTCTGACAAAGAACAGCAGCAGTGCCACGGCACTTTTAATGACTAAAAATGACATGACTCCAATTCTAAACCTCATCTGAAAGATGGCTTCTCCACCAGCACGGTATCTCTGATAGTGAGAAGGAATAGTTAGTGACTCACTACCTCTCGTGCAGGAAAGTTATCTTTTATTTTTTCCAGCAGTGTGAATGCAGAGCACTGACCTAGTGTGACCTGCTTATCCTGGGAGACATGGTGGACCTGCTTCATGTGGGTGATACAATCTGCTTAGATGTAACGCTTACACTATGGAAACAGAACCCCTCGAATTAATAAATATTAACATGACCCACTACCCATCAAGGATGACAATTTTTAAGTCAAAGTAATGTTTGATTCTCTTCAAAGATTACCACTTCTGTTTGAAGAGCTAAAGATACTGGAAATTTTAAAAGACTATCTCTTCATAAAACACAATTTAATCAGCTTTCCTAGTTGGCCTATACAACTTTGGACAAAGGAATATTGTTTTATGAATCAAAATGCTTTTTTTCTTAAATCTCTTCACATAATTACTAAAATATTAAAAGAAACTTCATATGCTATTAATAACCACACATTAAATAGTGGTTTTCTGAACTGGGTTTATTTTCACTACCTTTCAATGAAAAACTAATTTTCTACCTGCAGTCTCAAGTTTAAAAAAAACCCCAAAACATGCTTAATAAGCTTTTCAGTGTCAAGGATTACCAACCTGGTCTGTTAATGATTACTAAATGACACTATATGAATTGTAACAGTGAAAAAATAAATCTAAGTTGATGTTCTTATCACTGAAAATACATTAAGAAAGTTAGAACTTGCCATTCCTTCCATTAATCACATGAACTAAATGTGATTAGAGCCTTTGGCATTGAAAAGCTGCAGAAATCCTTGCAAGAAGGCACCTGACAGAGGGTGTTCCAAACCAGGGAACTCAGCAAAGCTTGGGCATCTCATCAGCTGTGTCATGAGGCAAGAGGCTCGGTGGACTGTCTTCTGCCTAACAAGGATTAAATTAATTCTCCAGCTTGGAGGCATTAAGAGGCATCTCTCTCTACTCCATTATTTATTTTCATTTAATTTGCAGAAAATCACCAAAACTCTTTCAAGTCCTTTGCAAGCTTAATGGCTCCACTACATTGGGCTGGAATTGTCCAGCGGGTTCAAAGCCTACTCAGAGAAGGTGAAAGAAAGATGGAGGTGGTGGCTAGAAAACAACACTGTCACAAAAGCCTAGGTTTTCTATTTTAGTCTGATTTTCCTACATATTCACAATATGCTCTTTAAATATAACTGTAGGAATCCTCTTTAAATCAATTAATAGATTTCTGTTTAGATTAGTAGAATGAGGAGCTAATCCAGAACAGACAGCCAATACCAGTGAGGCCAGAAATGATCATTATAACAATGAACCAATACGTTGGAAGAAAAAATTATTGTGCTATGATATTTTTCATTAAGTGGACCTTTTGACACAAAATATATACAAAGCTCATCTGTGATTTTCACAGTCTGAGATACTGTCAGCATGGAAAGGCAGATGCAGATTGGCCTTTCTATATTACTGAATGAAACATCTTTAACTTTACTCCACTGCAATTTTCTGCCAATAGCGGTGCTTGATGCCTCTCTATATATTTTCAAGCCCATAGTGAAATCCTGGAGTTTGACTTTCGTTTGGGGAGTTTCGCCAGAGAAGCCTTCCAGTGCAGCGCCTGG